GTAAATATATCAAAACTTAATTTTTGATTAGTAATATGCATTGCTAAGAACTTCATTTGAACAACTTTAAAGATGATTTTCTCAATATTTAGATTTTTTTGCACCCTCAGATTCCAGATTTTCAAATAGTTGCTTCTCAGTCAAATATTGTCCTATCCTAACAAACCACACATCAATGGAAAGCTTATTTATTCAGCTTTCAGATGATGTATACATCTCAATTTCTCAATTGTCTCAAGATGCACAGAGTAGTGTGCTTTTTTTTTAAGGCAGGTTTATATAAACTACTTAAGTGTCCTAATTGAACTATGGCTTAATCTGAGCCCTGTCTGTGAAACCAGGACTTAATTATCAGTTTACGAGGTCTTACATTTTGGGATGGAAAAACAGGAATCGCGGTACATTATAATGTGATTATTAAACTTCAAAAAGCAATGAAATAAATGTGAGTGCTGCACGTTTCAGAGTAAAAATGCTGTGCTGATCTACTGTTTTTTACTGTATTTTTGATCAAATAAATGCAGCTCTGGTGAGCAGAAGAGACTTATTTTATAAACATGTAGCCTAAATACCATCATATTTTCACATGTGAATGACAACGCAAACACAATTCAGAAAGTTATCTGCTAGAAAAAGAGGCAGCAACTATACACATAATTACTAGCTAATGTTAATAGCATGTTTTGAGTCTGTTGTGGTCACTTCCTCTTTTACCGTTCTTTACTTCCTGTCTGGCAGTATAAACAGAACCCAGAGATGTTCAGACAGACGGCTGGACTCTGGTCACATGTGTACGCAGGAGCTCCCGTCTCCAGCCCAGACTACACTCGCAAAATAGACAAACTCTGTGCGATGGGCTTTGATAAAGTGAGTAATATACACGCAAATTTACATTGCATTTGTATGGAAGCTCGTTTCATAAAAATATGGTAATTGTGACTTTTTATCTCACAATTCAAGCTTTTTTCCCTCACAATTCTGAGTTTATATTAAGGATGCACCAAAGTTTTGGCTACCAAAAATGTTCGTCCAGAACAGCAATTTTTTATTTCTGTAACCTCAGGAAAGACATTCAGTGACCATATCTCGTTATTTAGCTAGGGCAGCATTTTGATGAATATACACACTATATTACGTGTTCAGTATATTTGTACTTAACCTGTTAGTGTTGTCTTCATTATTTAATGTATCTTTGTCTTGAAATCAAATTATTACAGCCATCGTTTAAAAGTTTATAGTTCACCAACAAACTGGAGTAGAAACATGATTCTGTTGTTCAAAAGTTATAAAAACTGTGCAATTAAAATGTTTAACTCCGTTTGATTTGGGTGCTGATTAAATAAATTTGATTAATTCATTGATTATTAAATACATTTTTAATTTTGGTGCTTGGGTTTTCATTGTATTAATATTAGACATTTTAATGAATTTAATTTTAAATTAATGTCTAATATTAATACAATTATACAAATAAAATTAAATATTTTTTTTAGTGGAATAGAATATTTTATGTATGTATTTATTTATTTATTTGTGACATGTTTATACAGTGTTAATATAGTGAATGTGCAAGGCACTTTTCTGAGAAAAATTAACAAGTTTAAAAAAAAATGCATTTTTAATTTTTGGCTAAGTGCATCCTGAATGTTCGGTTTCGGCCCAAAATTTTAATTTATTGAATCTCTAATTTATATTAAAAAACTGGAGTAGAAACATGATTCTGTTATTAAAAAGTTGCAATAAAAACTGTGCAATTAAAATGTTTATTTGAGTGCTAATTAAATAAATTTGATTAATTAATTGATTATTGAATATATTTTTTATTTTGGTGCTTGGGTTTTAATTGTATTAATATTAGACATTTTAATTTAATTTTAAATTCATTAAAATGTTTAATATTAAAACAATTCTACAATCAAATTAAATGGAATATGATACTTTATGTATGTGTTTATTTGTTTATGTATTTATTTATTTTTGACATTCAGTGTTAATATAGTGAATGTGCAATGCACTTTTCTGAGAAAAATAATACGTTTTAAAAAAGTCATTTTCAGTTTTCAGCCAAGTGCATCCTGAATGTTTCGGCCCAAAATTGTTTAATCTCTAGTTTATATATTACAATTCTGACTTGATATCTCAAAATTGCAAGATATAGACGCAGAATTACAGAAAAAGTCTAAATTGCGAGCTATAAATCTTAAGAAATAAACTCGCAGTTCTGAGAAAAATGTCAGAATCGTCAGATAAAACGTTTTTATTCCATTTTTTTTATTTTATGGAAACAAAGTCATAATTCTGAGTTTATAGCTCACAATTATTTTTTTCTCAGAATTGCAAATGTATATATCTCCCAATTCTGTGTTTGTGTCACACAATTCTAATAAACAGAAATAAGCTCAGAATTGCAAGAAAAAAGTCAGAATTGTGAGATAAAAAGTTGCAGTTACCTTTTTTGGCAGAAACAAGCTTCCATACATTGGTGTGCATCACATTTCTTGCAGTCTTTCTCCAAGTTGAAGGAGAATCATCACAGACTCGTCTCTCTGTTGCACTTCTGTGTGAAAGATTTGACCAGAAAGTGTGTGCTGTGCTTCAGGATGCTCTAATGTAATTGTGCACACTATTATTATGAGGGACAGTAAATGTGACGCAGCCTGTGAATCAGAAACCTCCGTCAGAATCACTGACGTCTGGATCTTTTCTTCTCCTCAGAACGCAGTAATAGTGGCGTTGTCGTCGAAATCCTGGGACGTGGAGACGGCGACAGAACTGTTGCTTAGCAACTGAGTCCGACCTGAGGGGTCAAAGCACCTTATCTGACCCAATCCCACCCCCAAATCTCCTCCTCAGTCCACACTACCTTCATCTTTCTGTCTCTCTCGCTCTCTTTCTTTATCCATCTTTTGCCATTCCTCCGTTTGGATTAGTTCATCCCATACTGAGAACGCCGTCATCTTTATGTTGTTCTAAACTTGTCTGACTTCATTTCTTCAGCAGGAGACGTTTAGCTGAATGTTCACGCTGCTCTTTCTGTGTACAAAGGAACTGGCTTTCCTTGTATATTGCAGAATGGTGTGGAAGCTTGTTTCCGCCATGAAATTAAAAAAATTATAATAATAATAAATTCTGACTTTGTTTCTTGCAGTTCTGTAAACAAAAGTCAGAATTTTTTTCTCTTGTAATTTATATCTCACAATTCTGAGTTTTTCTCTGAATTTATATCTCGTAATTCTGAGTTTCTATTTCATAAGTCGGCGTTTGTATCTCATAATTCTGAGTTTGTCTCATAATTCTGAGTTTGTCTCATAATTCTGAGTTTGTCTCATAATTCTGAGTTTGTCTCATAATTCTGAATTGGTCTCATAATTCTGAGTTTGTATCTCACAATTCTGAGTTTTTCTCTGAATTTATATCTCGTAATTCTGAGTTTCTATTTCATAAGTCGGCGTTTGTATCTCATAATTCTGAGTTTGGGAACTGGCTTTCCTTGTATATTGCAGAATGGTGTGGAAGCTTGTTTCCGCCATTAAATTAAAAAAAAAAAAATAATAATAATAAATTTGGACTTTGTTTCTTGCAGTTCTGTAAACAAAAGTCAGAATTTTTTTCTCTTGTAATTTATATCTCACAATTCTGAGTTTTTCTCTGAGTTTCTATCTCATAATTTCTGAATTAGTCTCAGAATTCCTAGTTTATATCACAATCTTTACTTTTTTTCCCCTCTGAATTCTGAGTTTTTATTTTGCAATTCTGAGTTTGTCTCATAATTCTGAGTTTGTATCTCATAATTCTGAGTTTGTCTCATAATTCTGAATTGGTCTCATAATTCTGAGTTTGTATCTCACAATTCTGAGTTTTTCTCTGAATTTATATCTCGTAATTCTGAGTTTCTATTTCATAAGTCGGCGTTTGTATCTCATAATTCTGAGTTTGTCTCATAATTCTGAGTTTGTCTCATAATTCTGAGTTTGTCTCATAATTCTGAGTTTGTCTCATAATTCTGAATTGGTCTCATAATTCTGAATTCGTGTCCCAGAATTCCTAGTTTATATCTCAAAATTCTTAGCTTTTGACTCACAGTTCTGACTTGTTTACAAGATATAAACTTGCTGTTCTGAGAAAAAAAGTCAGAATTGCGTGATATAAACTCAGATTTGTGAGGAAAAAGTGCGAATTGTGAGATAAAAAGTCGCAATTACCTTTTAAATTGTTATATTCCGTGGCAGAAACAGGCTTCGATAGGTTTGGAACAACATGAGAGTGAGTAAAATTTACAATTAATTAATTTTTGGGTGAACTGACCATTTTTCTCCTCTCCTCTCTTTTCTTTTGTTTACTTATTTTGGTTTGGATGTGCCTTTTCTCTCTCTCTCTCTCTCTTAATAATCATCATCATCATCATCTCCCTCAGATTGGTCCAGCAGTCTGACTCTAGCCCCGCCCCTTCATGCACACGTCCAATCAGCACTGCGGTCATTCTCCCTCCTGCACAATCATTGGCCCTTTTATCTGGGTTGCATTTTTAGACTCCAGAGTGTCAGACAGACAGTGAAGTGGTTCCTTCACTCATAGATGCTAAACAGTCAAGACTGGAAAACACACACACTCACGCAAATATAGCAAAGACCAGAGTTCATCTGTAAATAAAGCTATTAAAGTCTGTATAAATTAAAGCAATGTGGCAATGCCTTTATTTATTATTGCTTTGTGGAATAGTGAAATAAACACCAGTTTCATGGCTGAGCACGTGATGTTTGGATGATCTGTGTTTTGACTGCAGCTTCTGAGAGCGCAAAAACATTCATAGAGTATATAATAATGTAGACAGATAATGGCTTCATATAGAGAGAGAGAGAGAGAGAGAGAGAGA